CTAGTTAAAAAAATATTGCCAAATTCGTTCCACTGGTTACTTGTAATTCAGGCTTATGGAGCACTTCACGAACTACATCATACGCATGATGCAAAACGAGAAGTCTGACGAGCTGGTTAGTGTCCAAAGATGCTCATCTTCCATTACTAAAAAATTCAACATTACGGTGTAGATCACATTTGAAAATGAAATATGCTCATTGACCATCCCTTCTCGGAACCTACACCATCGAATTGCCAATTAGAGACTTAATAGAATTGAATGGGTGTCTTATTTGTAGGATGCCTACCCAACCAATATCAACGGCAGCATTTTCGTCTTCCATATCACTCACCCTGGAAATTTTCGAAGGAAGGGAACCTCTCCTTAACCGGAATTATCCCTCAACGTTGCGTCAAGATTTACATATCTTTTCTGAATAAGCAGCGCTCTCAGATTCGATAAACGTGGGAGCTGCGATAAATAGACCGATAAAATTTCGGAATTCACATAACTAAACCATTCTCCGTGTCTCATAAAATATTATGAGGATTTTCTTTGCATGGAAAGTCCTTTCCGATGACGATGAGTCAACTTTCGCATATACTTTCCTTGCAAATTCGTTATTGTGTTCCCCACTTTCTTCTGTCCCAAAGATCAGAAAGCGAATTTACTAAGAATGCTGGAAGATATACATGGGTTCCGTGGAACAACGAGGGGCTCGTTTTTATGATATCTTGATTGTTACAGATGGAATTCTCCAAAGAGATTCATGCCCTCTCAGCAGCTGCAAAACCCGTGTCGACATGGTTTGGTGTTGAAGCACTTGGTGAAGCACGACGAGCATGTGGAGGACATGGGTAGGAGCCTTTGAATTTTCTAAAAGAAAATGTGTAGCTGCAGCTGAACAACCCAACAATGCGTAAAGAAGCAAGCATGACATTGCTCAATGCGGGGTCCTTTCGAGTTCTATTCGCCTACCTTCTGACATGGTAGCCCAAAACATCTCGAAGGGCAGTCTGAGAGTGGAATCGGACAGAGTTCTTGAAATGCTTTTGCACTTCCACATGGTGATTTGCATTACAAGGGTAGGGCGAGATAGTGACACCGAACAGAAAAGCTATGCCTACTGAGGGGCCTAGATCCAGCGCTCTAGGTATTCCATACCTTCAAGACTGCCTGCTGCAATCCTCTATCATGTCGATGGATCTTTTCAGTTTTCTACACAGTTCACGACTGAACGAACTACGTGACAGCTTTGATCCATCCCAGACGTTTGAAGGAGAGAACTATATGATACTACAACAAACTAGTAACATTTTGCTTCAAAAGGTAGGCTCTATCCTAACTCGTCGAGAAATTGTTTATTTACTTAACTCAAAGATTTGTCTTTGAAGCTTTTGACTAACCATAAGATATCCCTCTCTGAACCTTCAAGTCTTTGCCTGGTAAAGAGTTGAATCCTCTCCTGTTTCTTCCGAAAAGGATACGAAAGACACACTGGGAAGTTTTACCTGCTAGACATAGATGTGTTCAAATGGGATATCAACTACTTTTTTTTATCTCATTAGCCTAGGCTAGTTTCTACATCTGTAAGCTTGCTTCCAGATTCGAAATCCAAGAACCCCTACACCAATGTGCACATTTGATTGCCTTTATGACACACCAAAACTCTTCAGTGGTTTCAGTAGCGATATTGTTAATGGTAAGTTCCTACCTACCTATTCTTCCATATCGCACGTTGGCTAGACCTCAAAAACGAGAACTCGGTCAAGATCTTCTTGCTTGCCGTAATCCCATTACTGTTATTTTATACCCCTTCTATGCAACCAATTTGTGTCTTCTTACATGATACTGCGCCAATAATACTGTTAAGAAAATGTGGGATTACGGTAGGAATTTGTTTGGTACCGTACCTTCCTTTTTGTAGATGGGCGTGGCCCAGGTACTGCCTATTCANGGATCTTTGCCAAGCCCATCTACAAAAAAAAGGCTATCTGACCAAGCAGCTGGGCTGCGCTAGGCCTGGCTTGGTTCAATGGCAGATTAGTCAGATGCGTTTTTGTTTGTTTGTTTCTTTATTGTATTTGTTGCCACTTGCAGATATAATAGATGCGTATAAATGGCTGATCCATTACTATGTCAAGCAAACTGCAAGCGATCTTGCTGTCGAGATCGACAACAGGAAGAATTGCCCATTTTCTGCTCGCAATAACGTTCAGGTGGGTACCAGTTTGGCCTTAGTGGCTCCGTCGGACCCTTTGAAATGGAATTGCAGAGGACAGGAGATTAGTCATAAAGCTATTCGTTTCCACTGTTTACTGTCTATTCAATTTTCGAAACCTTAAAATGGAGTAACTTTGGCAATGTTCCAGGTACACAGAGCTCAACAGCTTTCCATTGCCTACGCTGAATTAACGATCATCGATTGGAGTCGACAATTTGTCGATGAGGTAGAACAACTCCCAATCAAAAAAGTAAGTATCACGGCAAAATAATATTAAAAGCGATAATTTATGCAGACTATCGATTTTACGCTTTCGAAATATCGACCACAAGGTCACTGGCCACTGGTATACGATAGAGAGCGCGCTCTAGACAGTGAGCTACTCCTGAACGGGCTGTACTAAGCAAAAGATACTCGTTGCTAGAAGCACTCTGTAGGGTAGCCCCTACCCCTGATCTCCATCACCCATCTGGAAATCGAATCCCGGATCGACTACTTTGCATTAGCTCCAAAACTTTGCAGTCCCAGTGTGGTGGTCTAAAATACAAATCTCGACCGCCCAAGATTTCCAACACGAGTCATTCTAAGGAAAAGACCATATCAAACGCTATTTACCATTATACTACCGTAAACCATATAAAAATAGTGAATTTATAACGGGGAAAGTTTATCAAAAGCTTCAAGGAATGTCCTTAGAAATTTTTCGGAGTGCATCCACTCCAAAAAGTGAATGACGGAATGGAGTGAGTTGGTCAAATCAAACTGTAATCGAAAAGGAGGTAACAGCGCACACACTCCACCTACTTTTGGGAAGCTCCGCCTACTATCGTTCCACACTGGTAATACTTGAATGAGGGAAGTCATTCATCACGTTTAACAGATCCTAGGGTAGCAAGT